ACTGGAACTCTGCCCACGCACCCATTAGGATCTATTGGATCCCCACGTTGGGCCTACATTTATCTTGGGACTTTTTATTCACTGAATTTCACCTCAGTGTGATCTGATATTTGCACTTGATTTTATGCTATAATATGATGTTTATATTTATGTTATTTTAGCGCTGCACCTTATATATATGTACTCTGTTGGAAGGTTCTTTATTGGTTACCTTTTTTGGTGTTCTAGCTGCTATCTTTTATAGATTCTCGGATAGCGCTCGCAGCATATTACCTCTGTATTTCTTTAACACTAATAACCTGACCAACGGAAAATGGCGCCCACTAGTTCACACGTGCGCAGCCCATTTGGTCTCCTGCAAAATGGCTCTCGCTCGTTGCGGCCCGCCATTTCGGCTATAAGTACATTAGATAGACGTCAGGCTGCAAAGGCATACCCCTACTGAAGGTGCACGTGTGTACGAAACGCATCTTGGAGGAGCCTGCATGCCTTGATGTCACGCCGCCGGATCACGGAGGTCCGGCGGCCATTATCTCCTACCAGTTGGTCAGTGCTCATAGCAGCTTCATGCTGCATTGCTATTTCACTTAGATTTGCTCTGGAAGGATATTGTCACGTGTATGAATCTCTTTTCATCATTAATAAACTTTAATCAAATTTACTACACTATGGGTATTTCCCTTTGTTGCTCTTTGGTGAGCTTTTAATCCCCCAGAGCTCCCCCTGGTGACCATCCCTGTATCAAGAAGAGGCTGCATACACGTCCTTAAAGGGGACTTCCGGATATAACGCCACTTTGACGATATTCACCTATCCTGAGCTGGTTTTCCTGCACTACCTTAAAGAGGGATTGCGGGCAGACCTCCATTAATTAATACATTGCGCATTATCTTTGCGCATCTGGTGAGTTCGCATTTTATCTATATTTTGCGGCTCACAGAACTTTTTGCTGATTGATACACTGCCGGGAATAATTGTGTCACCTTGGGCCTCAATTACATTTATACATTTCATACGGACTCTAATATTTTATGATTATTATTTATTGATTATTTTAATTGACCCATATCAATGTATTATTTATTATATAACTTGTTTTAGTATTGTTAGCGCTGCACTATTTTATATATGTTGTTCTGAAGGTTTTATGGTTTCCTTTTAGTGTACAGCTGCTTTATTTGTTCTAAGCGCTCGCTGATTCCCCATTTATCCAAATATGTTAGAGCAATGGCGGTAGTGTGGATCGATTTAATTTAATGAAATACACATGTCAGGGGTAGAAGGAACAAGCCATGGAAAGCTGGGCAGCAGGAATATAGTTTTTCATCTCACTAGGAATGCAAAAATTAAAGTACAACACCTTTAGTGAAGTTGCAATTTATTAAATCCCCCCCTCACCCTCAGTATAGCGCACATTGGTTTATATTTACCTACAGTCTATGTTCCTATAATTTGCTTATTGCCGTTCCCAGAAGTATGCACAGAACAAATAACAGACAGACTACTACACTGATCAAAAAATACATACCAAAAAGATTAAATATGATTTGATGAATTTTAAAAAACACTGGTTTATAAAGTACTTTCAACTAGGAGGGAACATCTCTATAGGCACAAAGGCTGTCCATCAGAAAATGTTCTAGTTTTAGTTTGTTCTGCCTCCTAAAATAGTGTACCATAGCTCTTTGCTTCACATATAAATGTACAGTCAGGTCATTTCCTACTATATGACTGCCATCTGTAAGTTTTTGAAGGGATCTTACACTTCTTGCTAAAACCAGCCACTTAATGATGAACTATTTGATGATTCTGTCCTTGTACCAAATCCTCATCACATTGAAGATGAGGACAATGTAAAGAATTTTTATTTGGTGTACATGATCCTGCCTATTCATCTAGAGTCTACTAGAAGAAATATAATACTTTCCTGTATCTGGAAAAAAGCTATGAAGTCCCCTCTCTGCTTCTCACTACAGAACCTATGTAACAAGAATGGCTAAATATATAGCATAACATTGCTGTTTGGTTTCCATAAAATGAACTAAATGTAAAGCAGAGAAAAGCAGGATTCATTTTCACATTTTTTTTTTTTCATTTTACAGCTGGTTTAAATTAATCTATTCTACTTTTAAGCAATGCAGTAAAGCTGCAAAAAACTGAGCAAGTCTAAATGAGAGGTAGGCAATCTTAGAGAAATTGAGATCTACCTGAACAATATGGGAGAAGTCAAAGATCACCGGGTACAGTGTCGTCTCTTCACACCTGATTTAAGCCTCTAATTGCCAGACTACCATGTCGCAATCGCATGCATTGCACGGCAATCATGGGTTTAAATCAGGTGGTGAGGTGGCAACACATTAACCTTCTCACCACCTGTCAGACACACTCAGATCGCTCAGAAGGTGCAGCAGTGCCTGCTGCACTTGTGAATGAGCTTTTAGTTGCATTCGGTAGCAGCACCCTTAGTGTTCATTCACACGTAAAGTTGGGGGGTGGTAAAACCCTGTGGTTGCGTTGCGATTTTACCTCCCCCAATCCCTGCCCCCTTTAGCTGCTGAGGCAGCAGTCAAAGGTGTACACATAAAAAACAAGCTATATGAGCGCTGGGTTGCGGTATGAGTGGAAAGCTGCCAGCATAAAGAGGGAAACCTCAAAAACCTCCAATGAAAATATATAAACAAATGTAAATATGCAGCGCTAAAATGATAATGATGAAAAAAATATAGGTACGTATAAGAAAGTAGACAAAAGAACAATAATATTCAAAAGAGTGACGTTTAACCACGCTAAAAGGTAAGAAGACCAGTCTAAGGTATAATCACATAAGTGCAAATAATGACAATTGTACTCTAGTCCGTATAAATGCACGTAAACGAGAGTAGACAAAAGAGCAATAATATTCAAAAACTGACATTTAACACCGGTAAAAGGTAAAAGAGCCGTCTACGATAAAATCTCATAGGTGCAAATAGTGACAATAGTGCTCTAGTCCGTATAGTATATAAAGCGAATAAACGTGATTGTTGTGGCTGTGAGAGTAGGTGTACAATGCACTACCAGATAGCACAAATGATTGTGCATTGGAGTATATAAGACCTGGTACTCAGGGAATGGAACCTTTAGCACGGATGAAGTCATCTAGGCAGGAACCAACCACCAGGGGTCATCCATCCAGGGCAGGTTACCAGTCTCCAGCAGTATAAATCACAGCCATCGGGGGGATCATGCAATATGCATAGATCAGGTATGAAGGAGCACCTTAGGAGAAGGGGGGGCTCGCCAATGGATATAACGAGCCTGCTAATGACAGCCATCAAACTTTCCGGGTGGTACTGGAGGAGTTTGTCCAAGAGTTGTCTTGTTCAGCCGGCCGGAGACGCAGTGTGGGAGGTCGGGAGACCCGTGTATTGAACTATAGAGGGAAAGAGACGGCAGGTGCTACACCCACCAGCCATGACAGGTCTTATAACTCCTGTTATGGCTGCAACATGTGTACACCCCTGGCCACTGCAGCTAAAGAGGATGCGGTTGTGGTGGGGGTGGTAAAAACACGTTAACTATGGGGTTTTACTACCCCCTAAACTGCAAATGTAAATGAACCTTTCCTGTTCTGAGACCCCCATAAGGTTGCTTTCACACTGATGCACACGCAAAGAGGGTGCAACCCAGTGCATTTGCGACTTTCTTGGGTTAGCTGCACTTTGCCATAGACTTCTATTAGATCCTGCAGCTGTGGCACACTTTCTGAAAGTGCACCCAAATTCCTGCATTCAGGATTCAGAATACAATAGAAGTGTATGGCTAAGCACAGCAAACCATCAGAAAAGCTACAATGTTCACTGCACTGCACCCACAGTGTTAGTAAATCGCAGTGCATCAGTGTGAAAGCAGCCCTATACTATTATGCCCAGTGTATTGCTTCACACTGACATGAAGATTTCTTCTTTTCTGCAGCTGGCACCACTCTGGAGACCTCTAACCAGGATAAGAGGTGGAGTGCAGTTGGTATCACTCTGCATGGGACTGGAGCCAGCACTACAGAGGAGGCATCGGCTTATGCGACTCTTGCTCCCTACTACAGCTCTAACTTTACAAGTAGTCCCTCTGCATTGCATTTTGTTTGACACTCTGGGATGGTGGATCAGCAAGCCCAGACCGTGATCTTCCAGTCACTTGGGCATGATCTACTATGGATTGCTGACTCCCGGTCTAAATGAAGGAAATTAGACTAATTCAAACCAGCAAAAAAAAATCATGCCTGTTGGGTTCCATTGCTAGAATGGCAGGCCCCTAGGAGAAGACAGCTGGAGGGACAATTACCTGGGTTCAGTACCCTAATGAGTATGACATTAGTTCTTGTTTGTGAAATAATAACATTGCCTAGATGTTGTATTTTACCCTTTGTACAGCTTAATGTGATAGGTGAAGAAAAATTCAAGGGAAATGAGAATCAGAATGCTGTTGTTGACCTCCTGCAAAAAACTTCGGATTTTTACCATCAGTATTTTTTGAGTTACTGATTGGGAATCAGGAAATCAGAAATCAGACGACAGTCAATTCTTTCATAGGAAAACCCCTTGATAGAAAAGTGGTGCCCCAAGTCATTTTTAGTCTGTTACTTACTTCATTTAAAACATGTCTAAAATTCATGTCTATTCTATAAAGGCAAGGAATAAGTGCAATTACCAATGGAAACAACAATTTATCAGTCATCTGACCTCATAAAATTAAGTCCTGGTGCTGGGGGTAAGAGAATTGCATTTCACCTCCACTGTCTTGTGGTTTTTAGGCTAGTTGTGATTAGCTCTTGATATTACCAAACAACTACTGACACAGCAGGTATATTGGCATTTTCCTGCATATGTAAAGTGGACGTGGAAACCTCATAAATAAGGCCTTTCACTTCTGAGTACATTCACATGTTGGAACAGCCGAACATTCATCATCTGCAGATTACATTGTTTTTAAAAACAATGTATCTTATCACATTTGTAACATACCTTTATGTCAGGAAACTGTCCTAGATATGTATCAAGTGTTAACAAGGCTCCATCCACTAATTTTTGATGAAAATCTTCCCAAAGTACATCACATTTCTGAAAAAAAATATACATTTAAAATGAAAAAGAAAGACAAAGGAAAAGAAAAAGAAAGACAAAGGAAAAGGAGATGGAAAAGAGAAAGAAAAACAAAGGAAAAGGAAACGGAAAAGAAAAAGAGAGACAAAGGAAAAGTAAAAAGAAAGACAAAGGAAAAAGAAAGACAAAGAAAAGACAAAGATAAAGAAAAAAAAAAAGACAAAGAAAAGAGAAAGACAAAGACAAAGAAAAAAGAAAGACAAAGGCAAAAGGAAAAAGAAAGACAAATGCAAAGGAAAAATAAAAACAAAGACAAAAGTAAAAGAAAGACAAAGGAAAAAGAAAAGCAAAGGAAAAAGAAAGACAAAGACAAAAGTAAAAGAAAGACAAAGGAAAAAGAAAAACAAAGGCAAAGGAAAAAGAAAGACAAAGACAAAGGTAAAAGAAAGACAATGGAAAAAGAAAAACAAAGGCAAAGAAAAAAGAAGGAGAAAGGCGAAGGAAAAAGAAAGACAAAGACAAAGTAAAAGAAAGACAAAGGAAAAAGAAAGACAAAGAAAAAAGAAAGGCAGAGACAAAGAAAAAAGTAAGACAAAGAAAAAAAGAAAGACAAAGGAAAAAGAAAGTCAAAGGAAAAAGAAAGACACCGGGGAAAGGAAAGGAAAGGAGGGGGGGGGGGCTAAGGAAAGGAAAGGAAAAAAGAAAGGAAAAGAGGGGAGAGGAAAGGGAAAGGAAAAGGGAAAGAAATGTTTTTATAAAGGCCTTTGGAAACACTTACCTCTCCCACCGTTTTAACATCCTCTCTTCCATACCAGTCAGGCTCATAAACTTCGTGAAGAGATTCTGTGAGCTTTAGAGAGGCCTCTTGCATTCCTAAATAAATGTAACAATGCATGGATAAAAAGGATGCACAAATACTTATATTTATTCATGCAAACACAAAAATACACATGTATTCTCCCTGTTTAAAGGACACAATAGATCCAAGGTCTGTTTTAGGTGTTGCGTGATAACAGGGCAGAAAAAATCACCAATGACTTGATACATTTTTTTAAATCAAGTTTTTTTTTTCCTACATCTGATGATAGCATTGTTTACAAAAGTGCAATCTGAAAATACAGTGTGCCTTTCCTTTTCACAAATGAGTGAAGTGAGATATACCTGATCAGCCTTACTTTATGACCACTGACAGGTTAACTGATTATCTTGTTACAATGGAATCTGAAAGTCAGTGTGATATGCAACATATTGGGCAGCAAGTAAATATGTAGTCCCTGAAGTTGATGAGTTGAAAAATGCCAAACATCACATGTGAAAACCGACTGCTCAACTTTGCAAACGATCCCAATCACATCATTGACCAAGTATTGTCATGTCCATATACAGTCCTTAACGTCATTTGGAGACCCCACCCCTTTGCCTAGGTTGTGGCTTTAAAGATCAGGAGATGTTATGCAACTGCAGTCAAGCAATGGGTTTGGATGCATCAATGGGTGTCATGGGGACGAGGGGGCATCAGTCATCATGACTGACATAGATTTGCTTCATGGGACACTTTTTTATTTAATGGACTTTCATAAAGTGTGTGGGTTTATTTACTATTGACTTTCTTTTGAATGAATAGGGGCATTATATACTCCTTAATCACTCACAGGAGGGGTGATTTCTGTGCCCCCCTAATTTTTAAAGGGGACTTCCAGATTTTGTATAAGCCCCCTACCACCAGACCCCCACAAGCACTGGCCAGACATGTGGGATAGAAGCTCTTGTCCTCATAAACATGGGTACAAGGTGCTTTGCTATGGAGTTCCTCCTGGTAAGGTACTTCCTCAAAGCTGGGGGCATGTGGTCTGGTATGGTTCAATAGGGAGAGGCACACACTTGTTTCTCCCCCTTTCTTGAACCCACACTTTTTTCATATTTTTTTGCACGAGTTTACCCCTTAAAATCCATACCAAACTAATTTTTGTGTTGTCCCCATTAAAATCCATATCAGACCCAAGGAACATAGAATTTTGGGAGGATCCTACTCCTTTCTTTTCCTGTTTTACACTATCGCTGCTGGTTTTTTTACATTCTCCTGTCAATCAGGAATCCTCAGCTGATAGCTTACAGGTGAGTAGTTACATGCTAGGGAACGCAATTAGCTATGGAGACCAGAAGCCTCCTATTGCTTTTAATGGGCTGCTCCCCTTAGCTAATCTCTGGTAAGCCCCACTGGGGTTCTCGCATGTAAAGGATGTTGGGCATATTCGCAGGTGTGAACATGCCGCAGGTGTGAATGTGTGAGTGAGGAAAGAGTACCAGTGTACCCAGAGGAAACCCTCACAGGGAGAAGATGCAAACTCCATGCAGGTAGTGTTCTACATTTGAAGGACTCTAGCGCTGCAGGGAAGGAAAGCTACGCACTAAACCATTGTCACAAGGGAGACATGTTAAACAAAAGTCCAAATTTAGGAATCATAGACAGCAGTCTGTGATACAATATTTCAAGCACAGAGACCAGAACTTCCCTAGTAATAACTGACAAATGTCAGGCTCTTACTCATAAACAGAGAGGGGGGGGGGGGGGGGGGGAGATGGAGAGGAAAGAGAGGGAAAAGAAAGAAAGTGGGGGGAAGAGGGGGACATGGAGAGAAAGAGTAATGGGGGGGAGAAGGGGGTAGAGAAAGATTGATTGGGTAAGATAGGAGATAAAAAAATGAGGAAGAGTGAGAGGGAAGAGAGACAGAGAGGTGAGAGAGAGAGTGGGAAGGGGTGGGAGAGGGAAAAATAGAGAGATATACACAGAGATAATTGACAAATGTCAAGCCCTTACTTATAAAAAGTGAGAGAAAGAGAGAGAAAGGGGAAATGTGAGAGAGTAGAGAAAGAGAGATTGTGGGGGGGAAGAGAGAGAAGGGTAGAGAAAGATGGGGGGAGACAAGAGAGGAATAAAGGGAGAAGAGCGAGAGGGAGGAAGGAGCGAGAGAGGGAGGAAACAGAGATGATAGAGAGGGAGCAGGAAGAGGGATATGGAAAACTAGAGAGATATACACAGAGAGCATTAGAAAGAGAGAGAAAAATAAAAAAAGAGTCTTACAATCTTGCAATCACTTGTGCTGGTGCGCTACACAGGCATTCATTTCATGGTGCTTCCCTCCGATGTTCCCGCACTCACAAAAACATATGGCCTTGAATGCCTAACCATTAAGAGTCACACACTTGTGAGTACACAAGGCTCCCTGGATGCAAGATTTTCTATTCTTCTCTGTCTTCTATTGCTCCTCAAATATAATGGCTGGACTCACTAGAATAGAGGCATATAGTCTACAAGTTTGGTGAGTGTGGGAACATCAGAGGGGAGCACCACAATGAGATGAATGCATGTGTAGCACACCAGCACAAGTGATTGCAAGATTGCACAGTATTCATTTAAACTCTAGCACTTTATTGCCGAGACTGCATTATTGGAATATTGAGCATGTATACATGTACACTATAAGTTTTGAATTTATATTCTTATTTGTAAAGTGGTATTACTGTATGTGTTTATTATTAGTGAGTAACACGTTAGGGGTAGCACTGTGAGTCTGTATACTATTTGATTTAGGTCATAGAACCTTTGTATCAGCAGCAGCACTTTGTATTGTTTGTTGTACACATTTGTTTTGCATGTATTTTTTTTTCACAGTGAGTTATATCCTAGCGCAGGGTTAGTAGTGATTTATTGATTTATTTATTTGAATATGTGCGCAAAAAGGCACAAAAACGACTCTGCCACTGTCCTAAACATGATTTATGATAGCCTGCTTTTGGTCTGAAGCTGAACTGTTCAGTCATACGATTTGGTTGCAGATTTATGAATTCTGACAATGAAAACTTATTTCCCACTCAGTTTAGGCTCCTCAAACCTTATTATCATCACATAGATAGAAGAGTGCCTTCAAATAGAAGGGTCAACTGGTACTATTTTAAAATTTTTTCTTTAAATGGTACTCTAATAGGATGCTAGATTAGGTTTAGTCTTTCAAGCCCTAATTACAGACCTGGATTTAAAAAAAAAGACATAATTATTTTGCTTACTGAACCATACCGCATCTAATTAACTACTGACTGCTAATTAGAAAAAAAATGTCAATTTTAAAAGAATGCTTAAAGTATTACTAAAACCTTATTTTTAAAACAAACATCACATTATTGATTACATTAGCGTAGCAAGGTAAGCAATTGCAGTCTAGGCTATAAAAACATGCTTTTCTCCATTATGCCCCTACATCCTCCACTTTCTTGCACTGTGGTTTCCTGAACTTTCACATAAACTCAGTACTATTTGTCAGGATGTATTCACCTGGACTTCATGTCCCAGCACCCCTGTGTCCTTGCCCAAACTCAAAAAAGCTTATGAAAAAGGTACCAGGGGCATCTCATGGGCCCCTACTGACCCCGGGCCCTCGGGCAGTGCCCGAGTTTCCAAATGGTCAGTCTGCCCCTGGTCTGAACACACGCAGCCAGTAGTCCTTGGGAGTGCACACATAAGGGTGGCTATACAGTATATGACCCTGCGAAGGGAAGAAACTACTCTAGAAATGGAGAGTGGGGTCAGCTCTCAAGGGAAAACCATAATCTGGATGAAGGGAGAACTACAGTACCTTGAAAAAGTATGCATACCCCTTGACATTTTCCACATTTTGTCATGTTACAACCAAAAATGTAAATGTATTTTATTGGCATTTTATGTGATAGCCTTAAAGTGGCTGTAATGGCTGAAGGTTTTTTTTTTTTTACATTTATGCATTCTATGCATGAAGGTAAAACACCTTCTGTATGCTGCTCCCCCCAAACACCCTCATATTACTCACTTGAGCACCTTCTCTATCCAGCGATGTGCAAGGGAGCCCCAGTTGTCTAGGGTTTCTCTCTCCTCATTGGCTAAGACACAGCAGCAGGAGCCATTGGCTCTCACTGCTATCAATCACAGTCAGTGAGTCAATGAGAAGAGATAGGCGAGTGGGCCTGAGCCGTGGCTCAATGTGCACCAGTGCCCCCATATCAAGTGGCTTGGGGGCACTGGTCAAGGGGGAGGAGCCAGGGGTGTCGGCGGGGGGACCTGAGAAAAAGAGGATTGGGGCTGCTCTGTGGAAAACCATGGCACAGAGTAGATAAGTTTGTTATTTTAATTAATAAAAAACACACCTTCAATATCACTTTAAATCTTTTCTAAACTACTAAAGTAATAAAATGCTAGCAAATCTGCAAATGTATTCTTCGGTGTCTTAGAACAGTGGCTCTCAACCTTTTTTCAGTCAAGGCACCCTTTAAAATTCTGAACAATCTCTAGGTATCCCATTCTAACATGTAAAAAAACTGAACTAAACATTTTGCATATTGCAGCAGTATCCACACACATGGGCCATTCAACATTAACAGTGATTTATGACTCCACCTTTCCAAACTGACGCTAACTAGTATTCTAACATTTCTCTTTTCCCTCAGTTTCTCCCCCTTTCTCTGCTAACATGACTCCAATGCTGACAGAGAGGGACAGGGAAGGGTAAAACAGGGATGCTGTGCAGGCTCCTGTGTCCTCCTTATCAACCGATGATAAAAAAAATAGCAAAAGCTTCTACTCCTGCGCTGGACGATAGACTACAAAGTAACGAGAACCACACATGGGATGCCTAGAAGATGCACACCTTGCTGCCCTCAACAGACCAGGGGAATCCAAATGAACTGCATACAAAAAGACAAAACAGGGCACACCGGCTTGTGCATTACCTTTAAAAATTAATTTATTGTATAAAAAATGGTAATAATATTCACAAAGGATAAAATGTCAAAGGCACATCATATGAAGTACAGCAAGGCCCAATCACATTGGATGTAATCTGTAA